ACCTGGAAAAGTCAGATTTTCATGATATGTCACCTTTAAATCGTGCAGCTTGTTGAAGCAAGATATACTATTTCTGAGCAGTTAGACTGGCACATAATAAAAAGTTCAAAAATCCAACTAGAGCTTACGAATTTTTTTTTTATGTGAAAATATCAGATTTATATAAAAAAAGTAAGAAGCTCCACCACTAAGCCTACCTCAGCAGGGTGAGAGCAGATTGTTTGAAAACACACAAATGAGTGTACAAATGAATATACGAATTAATATGAATTAGCAAAAAAATAGTTACGAATTGCCATTAAATTATGTTGGAAAAATCCTAAAGACTTCAAATGTAGGAGGGACTTGAGCCATATGTACTGTAGAGCAGTGGTTCTCAATCAGGGCCCACTAGGGGGCCTTAGCAAACTTCTACAAACATCAAATGTTAAGATGACTTAAAATTATTTAAAACAAGAAAAATCAAGCATTAAAATAAGCTAGAACAACAAAAAAAAAGATTTTTTTTATTTATATAAATGTTATATATATATATATATATATATATTTATATAAACAAACTAGCATACCTCAGAGGTGCGCGCGCTACGCATATGTCATACGCCTTCCGCCGGAACGGATCCGTGTATGATAGATAACGGAAGTGAGAGAAAAGTGTTTATTACATTTGAAATATGGATATTTTTCTTACAAAAACGCATGGATTTTCATTTTTGGGTGAACTAACCCTTTAAGGCTCTGAACAGATTTTTAAAACTATAGGCATCATAAACTTGCCGCCTTTGTAAATGGTTACAGAAAAAAAACCTGGACATTACACTAAACGACTAAGATTCACAATCTACCAGACTTTCAGGTCATTCTGAACACAACAAACTCGCATAGAAATGTGCGCCTCGTTGCTAGAAGATTAATAATGTGTTCTAATCAGCTCAAAATCTCAAACATGTTTGATATCCTCCGACTGAACGGATTCATAGTCTGCAGATAAAAGAGTCTGTGCCAATCATACTCTACATGAGTTCTGTTTTCTGTATATCACGATTTCTCAACTCATCCTAGCATATGTGTGTGGGGAAATAATCGTAGAGGAAGGAGATATTTACAGTTGTGGGGGTTTATGCAGTTTTATGATATACTATTTTAGATTCGGTGGTTTATTTTTAGGTTTGCCCACTTTTGGATGTTCTTTAAAAGGCCTAATTTAAATGGATAAGTTCACCCACATTGTGTCCCAAACTTGTATGCAGATCTTTCTTCAGTTGGAAAGTAATAATTGGTTTGGTTTGTTTTGGACCCCATTTACTTTCATTGTATGGACAAAGCAGTTCTTTAAACAATGTCTTTTGTGTTCCACAGATGAAATAAAGTCATAAACTTTTGGAACGACACGAGGGTGAGTAAATTGTGGGTGAACTATCCCTTTGATTAAGACTTGAGTCTCGCCTTTATACATCTGACAACAGATGTGTGACAGTTACCTACGTTAGGGAGGTGTACTAGTTTAGTTGCTGTTTGTTTTTGAATTGCTCTGACTGCTTGTACGTGTGTTGTGAGAGGAGAGGGGTCGGGTTGCCAGTTTCATTTACAGTAAACAGTACATCAGGACAGTGTTTATCGGAAATGACTCCCTACACTTTAACTTGTGAAATTAATTTGTGATCAATGACTCTATTTTAACGGCCTTACAGTAACGGCTGGGTAGTTCCATAAAAAAACACCTGAAGGATACAGCTTGCATTAATATCCACCAAACTATAAGTTAATGTAGTATCACAATGTACAATTTCTCTAAAATATATCTCAAAAGTTCAGTAAGAAACCGATTCCTTCCTTTAATAAAAGGTCCATTCATTACTCACTAGCTCAGAACATTAAAAAGTGTGTGTTTGTATGTACACTTCACTGTGTGTGTGTGTGTGTGTGTGTGTGTGTGTGTGTGTGTGTGTTTTGTGTTCTCTCTGGTCTATTCCTGGTTTTGACATCTTATCCCTGTGCAGAGTGCACCAGCTTCAGGGACAACTTCAGGATCACTTGCCTTTCTCACTCTGCTCATTTATTTTTACTATAGCGAGTCAGTCAACACTTTACGGTAACAGTGTGTATCACAACAACCCTGTGTACTGTTTAGTGTTTACTCTAGAGTCTTATTTCCTATTGTAGGTGTTTGTTTGTCCTTGTTCAGATGCATGAAGCAATCTATATTTCCACATCTTTCACTGGAAGCATGTTCTACAATGTGTGTTTTGTAAGCACGTTAAATAACAGATCTAGCAGTGCACTTCACTGAAAAGCCACACTCTAAAAAATGCTGGGTTAAATACAACCCAGTGCTGGGTAAAATAGGGACAAACCCAGCAATTGGGTTGTTTTGACCCAGCGGTTGGGTTACTACCCAGAAGGTTGGGTTAAACATTTAACCCAACCGCTGGGTCAAAACAGCCCAATTGCTGGGTTTGTCCCTATTTTACCCAGCGCTGGGTTGTATTTAACCCAGCATTTTTTAGAGTGCATTGACGTTACCAGTAACCCAAATCCCAGTATAATCTCCTGCATGGAGCGGTCTGAGAGTGTGTGCCCATTAGACTGTTTCCTGAATAAATTGAGATTTCTGTCCTAAAACCGGTTTGAGATTTCGTAGAGTTTTCTATTTTTCGAATGAAACTTGAAAATACACTCTAAAAAATGCTGGGTTAAATACAATTTTTTTATATATTTAACCCAGCATTTTTTAGAGTGTAAGGTGTTCGGAGTGCTTGTTCAACCCAGTCTCATGAGAAAACAACTGTTTGCAGTTGTGCACAAATTTGTATGATGTGATTAATATGGAAATTTATGATTTTTATTAAAAAAGCGAAAATCCATCCCTAGCCCTCAAGGAAAAAAGTCATAAGAATTTGCGACATTGCGACAAATTTGCGTTGCAGTTGCAAAGGTGTTTGGAGTGGTTGTTCGAGCGTTGCTATGTGATTTATAGGGTGATACGGGTGGCTTTAGGTGCTTGATAACTGTTCCAAGTTAAAAGAGCCCACCTCCAAGCCTCCAGATATAATTTGGGGGCTTTAGTGTTAAATTATAACCTGTTTCTTAATGAAAATCGCAAGTTGAATTAGTTTGAAGTTAAAAACACTGCTAGGCGAATTAAGTCGACCGCGTGTGGTCCCGCAAATATCAGCCAACTAAAAAAAGAAAAAAACGTTGAGAAAAAAAACTTGAGCTCAGCCAGACAGCTTTCTGGGACTGGGTCAGCGCGGCAGCCGACGGGAAACAGGTTCACTGTGCATTAACAAATGAAAGAGTGGGAAAGTGATACCTGGAATCACGAGAAAGTGACATGAAGCTTGGGAAAAACAAAACTGTTCTCATATGACTCGCAATTAACTTGCTTTCTCTGGGTGTCGCGTGTCTGTGTGAGAAGGGATGAATAGAAGGATTTGTTTTCTGATACTAAAACCTTCAGATGCCTTCTGAAATATTGGTCGGAAAGTGTTCTGAAGAGCTGCCACGCAAGAACTAGACAAAAAAAAGTCAGTTTCCGTTTAACGATGCGTGTAATATTTTCTGGACCGAGAAGATGTGAGGTTGGTAGAGTGGTTTTCATCCTGTACGTGCAGATGTGAGAGTCACCCAAGCACTCGGCATTTCACTGCAGACCTCAAAACCAACAAAGGCTTAACAAATTATTAAATGCACCTATTCCTTCATTGTTTCACTGTTTTACTCGGTATAGCTAATTTATATTCAAATTAAACAATGAAATAAAATGAAAAAGGACAAAATAAACAAAAAAGGGCGAAGAAATAAACACTAAAAAGCCTATTGTAGCCTATAGGCTATATATCGTAACGTTAAATTCAGCGAAGTTGCCTTTTCTATAATGTTCCAAAATGTTGAATTTTCATTAGACTAGAAGTTCGAAATATTTCGGAAGATCTTTTTATTTTATTTTATTTTTTTAAGTAATTAATTGATTTGTTTTTAACATTTTTGTTAAATAAACCCCAGTAACAATTTCTTTCAAATCACTGGTTTTGGTAAACGTTATATAAATGAATTCTTGAAATCACATACACATTTAGTTTCATTTAACTGCCGATTCATCAGTTAAAAAAAAAAATTAACAACCTTTTTACAGATATGGAAATAAAACGGACTACCATATTATTTTACATTTACCCTAAGAGTTGACCGTTACATTCATTACTTTTATGGCAGGAAATAATCATTTTAAAAACAAGAAGCCAGTAATTCAGCAAGCTTGAAGATGCTGGCTATTTTTTCCACGGGTTTATGAAGATTGATGGATTGATGTAGTGACTCCCCGCACGTAGGCATGTGGGGATGCCCACTCGACGCGTGACCTGCATCTTTAATGCTCTTGAGTGCGCTACCTTACAATCCCTTTTATCATTTTGTGCATATAATTAGCATTTAGAAATACAACTAAACATCAAAATAATAATAATAAATAGTCTATTATTAAAACGCATGGATGTAAAGTGTAAACACCACAGTTGTGGGTTTATTGATTTTTTTCATTTTAAGCATGTTTTGCGTTTCCCCGCAAGGTGGCGCGTGTGAACGCTCTCGCCGGCAGACACGCCTTCTATACTTGCGTCACAGCCTCGTGCTGCCGGTTCCGTATTTAAAGCTCGGAAGACGAGGGACGTGATGCGAGAGATTACCGGGAAGCAGAGCGAGCGAGGTGGTCTTCAAATTTATATTATTATAAAATTATAATCTTCAAACAGCTTTTAAAGAAGACGACTTACAAAGAAGAGACTCTTAATTCTTGGTTTTTCGGTTGTGTTCGCAAACAGTCTTGGAATTTCCGAAGCCGGTGTGTGTAACGTGCCGCAGTTTATTTAGCTGACATTTCCCAATCTAAAAGGAATGCCAAGGGAACTAACCCAAAACAGGATCCAAAAAATCTGGATTCCCTCTAAGGATGGCAAACCTTCAATGCCCCGCACATGTAAGTGATTACATATTTACATTTTTATTTCATTTTAAAGAATGGTGAGCACATATATTATTATTATTAACATTAAAGCGTATTTACATCTGAAGTTTAAGGTGATGGTCATCGGTAGCCATGACTACAGAATTAAAGCACCCTTTAACATTCTGAAATAGCCGGCTAAAGAGTGTAAGAGCGCTGTCTCAAGTGATCCTGTTGTCATGGAAACCCACGCGCATCGCCTTTGTAAAGACTTTCGAACTCATTGGCACGCTGGCGGCGCCAAGGCATTGAAGAACACTGAATAGGGATTTGACGGAGAGGTTGTCCAATCATGCTGGGCTCTGATTGGTCGAATTTACCTACAATTGGCGTGAGCGTGATGCTAGAGGATGCATAGGAATTACTCATCACAAGCGATGCATTATAATATCTGCTGCGTCTGGGATATCACTCTGCCCCTCATGTTGTTCACTGTGATTATAATGAAGGCATAAGTTACTGCAATAAATGATAAATAGCCTATACAGAAGTGCTCATATTTGGTAAGTTAGAAAGGAGTGTCGATGTATGTGTCACGAAAGACAGAACAATTGCAAAAAAATAAATCAGCAGACCATAAAACTTTAATCTAAATAAACATAATATAATTGTAATCATTTATGCAATGATACATTTTATTTACATTAATACAGTAAAATAATTGTATCCAGGATAGTGTTTTTTTTTTTTTTATTGCAGTATTGCAAAATTCTAAATGTCCTCCTCTAAAATAACAGTAAGATTCACAATGTCTAACATGTTAATGTCCCAAAAATTAAACATAATTTCCTTTATGCATAAAAATGTAAATATATATATATATATAAAAATATAATTTTCTTTTAATTTTGGGGTGACATGTTCTCCATAAGATTCTGTCTGGTCATTGTACGTTGATAGCCAGTAAAAGTCTAATAAGATCATTGTCTGTGTCTGCTGATTGAGCGGAGTTTGAGGTTGTGTGTTTCCGTTAGGGATCTTCTTAAGGATCTTCTTAAGGATTAACCCTGACTGCGCTGGTTCACATTGCCCATTCGCATGGCCACCTGCCAATGGACGTCTGTAATTCATTGAGAAAAACTGCTGTGTACTTTCTCTCTCTCTCTCTCTCTCTCTGATAGGGATTACTCTAACCGGCAAATAACTTGATGAAATAAAACTCAATCAGAATATACAAAACTCTGAATCCTAGCCTAATGCACAACTGCATAAATACATATAATTTGTTGGCAATTCCCATGAAAGTTCAGACATGCACAGAAACATGTACTACTTTGAGGATTTATGTGTCTGTGTGTGTACGAGAAAATGAGACTTATCTGCGTCTGACCCGGCTAACGTCTCGCTGCTGGCGGCGTGGAATGTGTGCATGTGTGTTTAAGTGTAGTAAATGTTTAGTTTTGAAAGTGCATCTGTGTGCACATGACCTGGCCCATGGCTGGCTGTCTGATTGGCTGGCGGGGAGGGTCGCTAACACGTGACATCATGTGGAGTGAGGGAAACTGAAAGAAAAAAAAATGTGTCCATTTCCCTTGAAAACCCCTAAAATATAGGCGAATGGCAAGTTGTGATTCTGTTCATACACATTTGTTTAGCAAAATGTGATCAGGTATTTTATTTTCATCTTTTATTTCAGCACATGCAGGCCCCCACCTGGCAAACCCCCCAACGGTGATAGTGATGGTAGGGCTTCCTGCTCGGGGCAAAACCTACATTTCAAGGAAACTCACACGCTACCTCAATTGGATTGGTATTCCCACAAAAGGTACAAAATCAAGCATATATATATATATATATATATATTACATAAACTACATTTAAATATATAAACTACATAATTTATTTTTATTTTACTATAATGTTTTAGCTTTATGAATTTCACCTATACACAATAGTAACATTTTGCAGGAATTCTTAATTGTGAATATGTGTATTTCTAGTCTTTAATGTTGGCGAGTATCGTCGAGAGGCAGTGAAACACTACAGCACTTACGATTTCTTCAAATCGGACAATGAGGATGCCGTAAAAATCCGACAGTGAGTTGCGTGCCTGAACTACACAATGCTATAATATGAAAATGAATTCTTCAACTCGTTTATGTAGATGTATGGAGTAATTAATCTTTTTGTTTTGTCCTCAGGCAATGTGCCTTGGCCGCTCTGAGAGATGTCAAGACTTACCTCACCGAAGAGGAAGGTCAGGTGGCTGTAAGTATCTTCTGTAGATGTATAAACAGCTAGCTAGGCTGAGAAGAGCAGATCCTCACCGCTGTGTCTTTCCACAGGTTTTTGATGCTACAAACACAACCAGAGAGCGGCGAGATATGATCCTGGAGTTTGGTGCAGTAAATGGCTTCAAGGTCAGTTATATTCTCTTGAAGATTGCTTTTGATGACAATTACAGGGATGAAGACCACTAATACAAATGTACTTTTGCAGATTTTCTTCATTGAGTCTGTTTGTGACGACCCAAATGTAATCGCCTGTAATATCTTGGTAAGTTGCATGATTAAGAGTTTCAAACTTTATATATAACGTATATACTTTTTTGCACAATGACTGCTAAATTACTGGCAATAAAGTGTGGAAAACCTCTAAACATTACATGAATGCCTAAACAGGAAGTTAAGGTGTCAAGTCCTGACTATCAAGATTGCAACAAGACGGATGCCATGGAGGACTTTAAGAAAAGAATTGAATGTTACAGAATGAACTATCAGCCGCTTGACCCTGACCAATATGACAAGTACGCTAGCAATACACACACACACACACTTTCTTCGTCACTGACTTCTCTTTAATATCACAAGATTAACCGCATTTCCTTGTTTTTCCTCTCAGAAATTTGTCCTTCATCAAAGTGATCGACGTGGGTCGCAGATTCCTGGTGAACCGCATTCAAGACCACATCCAGAGTCGGATCGTCTACTACCTGATGAACATCCATGTGCAGCCGCGGTCTATTTATTTGTGTCGCCATGGCGAGAGCCAACACAACCTGCAGGGCCGACTGGGCGGAGACTCTGGACTGTCTACATGTGGACGAAAGGTACTATGCTCATAAATCTTGGAAAAGAATGCAGGAGGTTCGACTTGTAAGGTTGGGTAATTACTTTTGAATAGTTCTTGACTCCTCTTAAACTGACTTATACCTTTGCAAGCCGTCATAAACAGGCATGTCGTTGCCAGTAAGCTCAATTTGGTGCCAAGGACGGTATTTGTCAAATTTGAAACCGTGTGCTAGCCAAGAGTACTAAATTACCCATGTGTCCAATTTGTCCAAACTCTCCAGAATAACAAACCGTCCCGCTCTGTAGTTTGCAGGAGCTCTTGCTAAATTTGTAGAAGAGCAGAACTTGAAGGACTTGAAGGTTTGGACAAGCCAGATGCGCCGTAGTATCCAAACCGCCGAGGCCCTCAATGTGCCGTATGAACAGTGGAAAGCCCTGAATGAGATTGATGGCGTAAGTGCATGCTTCTCTGGTTTGTTTTTTTTGCAATGCTACTCCATTTCAATCTCCTTAAATTGTTTGTATGTTGTCTATAGGGTGTGTGTGAGGAGATGACCTATGAAGAAGTGAGGGAGAGGTTTCCAGACGAGTTTGCTCTCAGAGATCAAGACAAATACTACTACCGCTACCCCTCCGGAGAGGTACAAACAGACGAAACAGACCAAGTATAAGAAAGTATCCTTAATTAAATGCTTCTGTCTTTCTCCAGTCATATCAGGATTTAGTTCAGCGGGTGGAACCTGTGATCATGGAACTGGAACGACAGGAAAATGTTCTTGTCGTTTGTCACCAGGCTGTGATGCGCTGCCTATTAGCCTACTTCTTGGACAAAAGTGCAGGTGAGATTCTTAAATGAAACTTCATATCATCATTTACTCACCCTCAAGTCATTTTAAACTCTTATGAGTTTCATTCTTCTATGGAAAACAATAGGAGAAGTTTAGCAGGATGTCCCATGTTCACTTTTCCACACAAATTGAAGAGAAAGTTCCACTTGAGCTCCAAAAATAGTCCATATGACTTCTGAAGCCATAAGCTAGTGAGTTTATGTGAGGAACAACCCCTTGTGTCCCCTTGTGACAAAGAAGTACATTTTAGCATACTTAAAAAAAAAAGAGTAGGTAACACTTTAGATTAGGGAACGCTGTTCACTATTACTTAGTAAGTAAATGACCCCTCATCTGCATCCGCACACTTTTCCGTCCTTATTTGCAGTGCAATCATACTAACCTTTCATTTCCTGTCGGCAGATGAGATGCCGTACCTGAAGTGTCCACTCCACACAGTACTGAAGCTGACCCCGGTGGCTTATGGTAAGTTTATTATCTCTGATAATATCTAATCTGAATTATTTTGTATAACACAAACTAATTGTGTGTTGTTGTTTTTTTAAAGGGTGCAAAGTTGAATCCATCTCTCTGAATGTGGAGGCAGTGAACACACATAGAGACAGACCAGAGGTAAGCACAAGCGCATACACAGTACACACAAAACGCTGTACCATTTCAGCTTCTAATCGCTTGTTCTATCTTCTCTCTCTAGGAGGTGAAGAGAGGCCCGAGCACTCTGATCAGGAGAAACAGCGTGACCCCTCTCACCAGCCCTGAACCCAATAAGAAGCCCCGCATCGAGGGTCTGGATGACACGATCGTCAGAGAGGTGACGCCCACCCAACTGACCCTGTGTTCAACTTCACACACCACTCTCACTCTGTCCACACAGGTGAGCCACCGTTACTGTGTCATATCTTCACTCCATAACCCTGTAGTGACATACTAATCATTTCATGCTTCGCCTTTTCACATTCTCTTTCTGTTTCCTTCCATTTATCCTTCCTCATTCCACTTTATGTACTACAGCACTGGCTTAGTGAAGCTTGTCTGTAAGTATTTCCTATTTCTGTTTCTTCCTTATCTTCTTCAAATAATTGTACCCGACTTGACCATCACATCCTTATCGGATTTTAATTCAACAAGAAAATGTTGCTCATATCTTTTGGTTGTTGACGTCCAATCAAACTCAAATTCTATCTTGGTGTGTATCTGTCACTTGGTGATTTATTAAAACTAACCAATCAGACGTCTTCATAATTATGATGTCACAGCAATGAGCTCATTAACATAAAACCACCTGCATTTACATAACATTACTTATGAAGTATTTTGTAACTTGACCTGCCCTGGTGAATGTTATTGTGAACCATGCCAGTACATAAAGTTTAGCCAATCATGACAACCTTATTTGCATATAGAAGTCTTAAAGGTACAGCAGCAAGCTTGTTTGTTTTAGAGAAAGGGTAGAAAATGGTCACGTAAAACAAAATTACAACTGATTAAATGTTATAATGTTACAATATGGGCCCTTTAAAGGTGGTATTATTGAAGATATAATCAAGTACTGTAGTGACACTACACTTTATGTTCGTATCTTCATTTATATCTAGATAGCCACTTTCTCATTTGTTCTGTAAATGATCACTGTCTGTCTCTCACTCATTTTTTACATGCTTAAAGACGCACTTTTTTACATTACCTACAAGTGGTGTCAGTGCTGCTGTTTCAGAGGTAACGGTCGTAGAAACTAATGTGGTAGAGTAGCTAAATAGTATAGCAAACGGTCGATAATGGGACGCTTCAGGGTTCGGGGCAGAATTTGCAGACTGCAAACATTTTCTATAGTGATTTTAGGATAAAATCGAATCGATTTAAATCTTGTAAAATGTGTTAAATGGAGGTAAAATTAAACTTTTGGGCCCTGTTTACACCTGGTATTAACATCTCGTATTTACAGTTTTATTTAGTGCTTACTAGCTACCTGAAACAGATGCTAATAACAGAATACCAGGTGTAAACATGGTTATTATTAGTTGAACATTTTTAGCCAAATTATTCAATAAGTACACCAGCAAAGCATGCAGAATCTGTAGTGTTTGCGTTCATTGTTCGAATTCTTTGGACATATTCCCGTTTTGAGTGCAGATTCCATGTAGATTTAAACAATAACAATCATAACGGTTTTGTGTTATGCTAATTGCTGTGAGCTAGCAGCTAGCTTGTTGAGTAAGACCGACTGTTCAGTAATTAACCAAACGATCTACATTCTTTTTGCACAGAACCTGAAGAAATGCTCCATAGAGTGCCATGAACCCCCTCAGCTCTGCCTGTGAGATTTTAAGGCTGTGTTGCTTTACTCAGCGCGGAAGAGTTTCCTGCCAAGCTGCTTCCTCTTTTCCTCCCAGAGATGGTGTGTGTGTGTGTGTCCAGCTCCCAAAAATGGACACTGAGTGCAGCTGTGGGTTTTTCTATTAGTCCTTCATGAACTTGTAATTAATGTGCGTATCGTGTGGTTTGTGCTAGTATGGAGTTTAGTGATTTCTATGTGTGTTTTTTGGGTATGAAGGGAAAATCGGAGCCCAGTTGCAGGGATTGTTGTCAACCACCCCCACATTTTTGGACACTATTCCCAGTTTACGTAACAGGATACTACTTGTATATGTTTTTATTTTGGTCTCAGCCAGTTTTTTTTAACACTGATGTTAAGAATATGCGCTGAACTTCGAAGGACGATGCTAAAACAGACCAAAGATCACTCGGGCTGATTCATGGCTTTTCTACACTCACTTTCAAACATATGCTGCAAATAATAAATTGCACATTTAGATCATTTGCATTTATTTGTCTTAATTTCTGAGGGCAATAATGAATCTTACCATTTGTAATGCTGCTGGCAGTTTTGAAAGCTGTTTAAAAGTTCTCATGTTGTCCACTGCGGTTTCAGATGATTTGTGTTATGGATATGGATTTGTTTTTTGTGTGTGTTTTTATGACCTGATGACAAGGTCGATGCGCAAGGTTATAAAAACAGGGTGTTTTATGTGTGTTTGGATGGGACAAAGTGAAGCAGTGTCTATATTTGTTGTTTATATTGAATGTATTTTGTGGCGTGACTGATATCAGATACATTTTTATACTGTTCATTTATTAATTCCCTAGAGTGCCTAGTGCTTGAGCTATCAGGCCAGAGCTGCTTTTTTACATTCTAATATGAGAATTATATTGAAAAATCAAAATGACATTTGGATTTAATTGTACTTTTATCAGTTTCAGTTTTGTTAGCATGTCACAGCCTGAAGAGATTTAACTAGTATTTGATATTGTATGTACAGATTTACCCTTGTAAACCAAATGTTTACAATTAGAATTTTTACGAGATTTTTGTAGAAATGGAGTTAAATTTGAACTCTTCAAATCTTCTGTTTATCACACGACTTAATTGTAATGTTGTATATTGGCTCTTAACGGTAATTCATTCGTTTGCTTCTGATACTTGAACCTCATTTTGTAATATCTTTCCTTTTTTGTTAAAATAATATTTATTTATTTGTACTAGACGTACTAGTCTAATAATGGTCTCATTCTGAAGAAAGTGAATCATTTATATGCATTTACTGAATCAATAAACAGTCTAAAAGAGGATTTGTTGGGTGTTTATTTGCTTTCACAGAGCTGCATTTCCTTTTCTTGCAATTTATCCATAAATGGTCAAATATAGGGCGAGCGTTTCCCATCCTACTGAGCATCCTGCAGCTTTCGGTCAGTTTGCTGTTTTTCTTTAGTCACGCAGCAGTATCACTCCTCATCCATTTCACCCGCAACCACATCCGCCTCATTTCTAATGAGCTCTATCTGTGTTTTATGGCCCTCTGGACTCTTTGCTTTGCTTACCTGTTGGAACAGATATTAACTATTGCCTTCAGTGGAAAATTGTTGTATAACCAGTCAAACCTTTCATTTACCATTCAAATGATTGTGAAGTGATGCAATTTACATGAAATGCTAGTCACATTGCATCCGTCACATGCCAACAGTTCCCTGCAACAGGAGAGCAATATGTTTTAAAAATGTTTAAATCTTTGTATATGTTTAATTATTTATTTATATGTGTGTGTGCGCACATATTTTACATTAAAAAAATATAAATTTTACTCTATTTAAAACTCAAAATATGCTTTTATTGCCTACATTAAAAAAAACTATTTCAGAAAAAAAGTCTTTCAACCCTGTTATGAAATTTTCCTCCTTTTAAATAAATGTTTTTATAAGCAACCGAAAGAAAAATTTAAATGTGATAGCTTTGTGGATAGAATATGCAGTTGAATCATTCTATTTTTCACACACTATTATTTATTTATTCATTATATATATACAGTATATATGTATGTGTATATATATATATATATATATATATATATGTTTTACCTGACGAAGACTGCATGACTGAAACATTGTATTAAAATGTGATTCACAAGCTATAGCAGTGTGTGGGATTCTACGTGTCTGCTTATATGATTTACTTGTGGTTGTGGTGGCATTTCATTTAGATTTTTGACCGTTGTTTTGTAAAAAAAAAAAAAAATAGTTTCTGTACTTTAATTTCAACTATGTTATGTTGTGAGATTTTCCTCCTTTTAAATAAATGGTTTCATTTTTCAGTCATCGTAATTACTGGAGCAACGTCATTGATTTTTGATCACGTGGTTCATACAGAGGTACAGTTCTCTCTATTTCACTAAATGTCAGTAATAATCATCTTCAAGCTCAATTTTGAAAAAAATGGGACATTTTTAAATGTGATATCTTGCAATCAGCACAAACCTTTTCAAACTAAATGATCTAAAATCCTAAAATAACACATTTAATTATACCCCTTCATTTAAAATGACCATGTAGTAAATAACAGTGTGGTTCAGGAGTGTATGTGACTGTTATCAGCGAGCTCTAATGGTTATTTATAGCTCAATGTTGAGTGTGAGCTTCAGGCTAAAGGGATGCGGGACACACATCGGCTCACTGCAATCAGATCAGCATGAAGTCAATCAGGCCATCAATGTTACAGCTTATCACATGAGATGAACCCAACGCCCCCAGTTATTCATGTGCAGATGGATAGAGTTGGCTTGGCTAATCCTGCACGGTATGGAAATTGTCCCACCAGCTGTTTCCATTGGTTGTGGAAACATCTATAACATCTGTAAAGCAACTCGTGATTGTGGAATGTGGCACGTTTAAAATAATAGTGGTTTTCCAGGATTTGTGTTATATTTGGGATTTAGATTCTTTTTCATTCCTTTTTTTTTTTTCATAATTGGAGGCGTGGTGATCATTATTACTAACTCACTCCATGATGTGTTCTCAAATGTGCCTGCACTTTGCATGGTTTTTTTTTGTATGCCTGAGAAAGGTTAATTATCTGAAATGTTGATCAAAACTTTTGTGATTATGTAAACTGGCGTAGTCTGAGGGAATTATATCTTCTAGTTTGTTTTGTAATTTTATCCAGTGCACCTACGATTGACTCCGATGGATGAGGCACTATATATTCATTGGCTTTTGGGTTGTTGCAGAAAATAAGCTCTGTGACCAACAAAAGTGTATGATTCTTACACCCTTTGTCCATCATGATAATCTTCATAGATGAACTTTTATAAAGGCCTAAATACCATCACCAGAAGTAAAAGGCTGAAGTTTGGCTGTACACAAACACCACCACAGTCGCATGACTTCAACGGCAAGCTTTCAAAATCTCGTTTAATCTTACTTTAAAATGTGTACGTTGGAAAGTTTGAGTTTCTTTCTTTTTGAAGTTTTGTTTTTCACTAATTGTGCAATACATTTATTTTCTTGTACTGTTTTCTGACACACTGCAGACTGTGGCTGAAGGAAGCTGGATCAGGTTCATGATAATAATAATGAAACCACATAGTGGGCAGAGCTGACATAGATGTGCAATGGGCAAGAAAACAAAGATGAGTCTGATCACTTTGGCAACTTATGCTTGTTAGATCATTGGATAATTTATGCTCGTTTATCCAAATCTGCTCAGAGCGAAATTATGAAGTCAGACAGACATTATGAAGTTTCTGTGAGGTAGTTTTGGATATTTTGGTTTCATAATGTCACGTGTAAGATTCAGTTGGCCAGTGGTAGAGAGACAGAGAGGGAAGGTATAGCTAAAACTCTATAGCTTATCCATCTATTATACGGTTGTTTGTTTATCATTGTTTAAATGTCTCTTGAATGCTCGTAAAACCTAAAAAAATCAGGTCTTCATGGTAAAAATAGCTTGATAGAGTCAATAAATGTCTTATTTCATATGCCAAAATGCCAGGACCACTGTTGTTCTGTATATGAACATCCAAAACACTTCAAAAGTTTTCCATTTTTAGTTGAAAACAGTGTTGTGTAAATGCCCCTTAAAGCATTGTGGGGTGAAAAATGTAGTTGCTTTTCATATGTAATTTGCATTTAGCCACAAAGACCACTAAATGATGACTAGCTAAGTGTTTTAGCATTTTAGCATGTGGTTATGGTGGCTTCACACATGTTATTTGTCTCTCAAGCTCTTAGAAACCTTTTTCTGTCTGGCACAGCTGAAATAAACATATAGCTGTTCTACTGGCTGATTTGACACTAAGCTCTGTGTCTTTAAATAGAGCTGTAATTCTCTGGGATTAGTTCAGTGTGGTGATTTAGCATGGCTGGCAACTAGGCTACACACGCAACTCTATGGATCTACTCCCACGGTTTCTCATTTACTTAATCATGTAAATCAATTAGCCAATTATGTAATATATGGTTTTGAAAAGAAAAAGAACCGTGCTTAAAGTCCCCATGAAATCAAAATTAAAGTTTTTTGGGTGTTAGTATCAATATGTTAGTCTTAAGGTTATCTATAAGGCAGTGTGCTCCAAAACAGTGACAAAATTCGCATTTAGAAGATATAAGCATTCAAAGCTTGCAGTTCGTCACTTCTGCCAAAACGGCTCAACGATTTTTTTTTGACGTCACATCGTACTTCAGCTTCTCATCAAACTTTCTGTCCAATCAAATGCTCTCTAGAATCCGAAGCGCCCGCCCCCTACATTATAAAATAGACGCTGAAGCCGCGGCTGAAATCGGTCACTTGTCCACGGAATTAGTATTTTCTGTGCAGTGAATGGCACGTAGTGCACTATATAGGGGACAGGGAACGATTCAAACAGTGTAAATATGCTTTCCATTGAGGAAGAAAAGAAGTCAGGTTTCACACACTCTGCTTCGGTCCAGAGACACGATAGCAAGGAGCGGATCACATGCACGAGTCGGCGCAGACCACAAAATGTATCGGAGCTATTTGAATTCTACACAGAATGCTATATTTTATAGCAATATGGATGAGATTGTGGCTGGCATACCCTGTCAAATGCAGCTTTACGGAGCTCAACGGCTCTGAACGGCTCTAGCTCAAGCTGCGATATAAACGAACGCTATTGGCTATTTTAAAAAGGGGCGGGGCTGCTTGATATGTCCCGCCCTGTCTTCCTGTTTCAGTTAAAATGACGTCAACACATAGAGTAACGCTGCATGTTTCTAAGCATTTCAGGGGACCTTTAAGTCCTTTTTTTTGCGGCTAAAAGTGACATGCTATATGCATTATATGCAATAAAAGTGTAAATTCACATCCCGATGACGCACCATGTTCATTTGGGTCGGGGTTCTCCTTAAACCCTGAGTCAGATCTTTTGTTAGATCTGGTAAGGACATGAAGGCTGGTTTCTAATCCTGTCAGTCAAAGCTGACCCATCAGGAACAGGTTTATTAGCGTCACTGGGTCTAATGACAACAATGCTACGTGATCTGCAAGGAAGCCACTGAAGCAATCTATCAAAGATAAAAGACTTACCTTGAACGCTACATAAAACTCTCTTATCTGTGTCTCAGTGTCTGTTAAAAGAATGTCCAAAGTTCAGTGTTATTTTAGTATTATTTATATACTTTTATAGTTTTGGATTTTTATAGATTT